ATTAAAAATATTTTTAATTTCGTGTCTTAATGAGATATAATTCACATACTATTTTTCCATTTAAAGTACACGACTCCTTGCTTTAAATAAATTCACAGGGTATACAACCACCAGCGCAAAGTAATTTTAGAATATTTTAACCTCACTACTTCCCACCCACAATCTTCATACTCATAGCAGTTACTCCTATTCTGAGCCCCTCCCCCAGTACGAGATAGCCACCAGTATTTTTCTGCCCCTTGCAATTTGCCCATTCTGGACATTTAGTATGACTGGACTCACGTATGTGGTCTATTCTTTCCCTTAGTGTGAAGCGTTCAAGTTTCATCCATTTTGCAGCATTGCACCAATGATGCATCCATTGCACCATTGTGCCATTACCTCATTCCTGTTAATTAGTCTATCTTATTGTAGACCATTCATCAGCTGCTCACAGTAGTTTTAATTACTCTTGCGAGTGGGGTCTGTTGTTTTCTTCATTTCTATTTTCCACTTGGTTGTTGCCAGTGTCAGTGTACCAGGGGCTTCAGAAGTTCATGGGGAAATTCCATGATCTATTTTCCCACAAACTTTCCAAAGCCCCTTGTATATTAATTATAAAAACATACATATATAATGGCTACAGTCAAATATAATGAAGAAGATTAAAAAATAATTTATATGAACCTCTCTGTCACTCAGATCCAACCACTTTAGAAACTTTTGTGTATTCTTTATAAGGCATTATATATATATATATGCATATATATCTATATACCCATTGAGTTGATTCTTACGGCTACCCGATAGGACAGTGGAGACCTACCCTTGTGGATTTCTGAGGCTGCAAACTCCCTACAGGAGGAGAAAAACTCGTTTTTCATATGTGTACACATATCAGTTATATGAGTCCTGCCAGTTATGAGTCTTGGTAGGGAATGTTAGGTATCATCAAATGCCAATCTGACCACTTAAGTTAGATCCCATCATGATGTCTCAATATAACACCAATGGCTACCTGTCCAGCTAAGTCTCATCTTCCTTATGGGTCTATCGCTCTCTGGTTATAGGATTTTTTTGAGCAGGATCGTATTTACAAATTTACTGCAGAGGAGCATTGGAAATCTAGTTCAAGATGGAGGAGTTCATGAGGCTGATGAGACAGGGCTGGCATTCTGCAGGAAATGCATCCTCCCTGTTGGGCAGATGGATCTCTGGCAGCTCTCGTCTGGGTAACAAGTGAGAAAGAGAGGCGATGACTAGGGCCAGGCGCCACGCCTGCTCCAGATTAATGGAGTGAATGACCACATAGGAGAGGGTCTTTTGATGCCCACCCTCCTCTAGGGATTGTACACACACACACACACACACACACACACACAAATGATGCTCTACTTGACCTTGTCAGAAGTGTCAAAGGATGAGTGATGGAGATTTTGTATTCTTGTTTATTTTGCTGGGAAAATTGTAGCCTACATGTGGAAACTGAATTAATTCTAAGTTATTGCTGTCCAGTAGAAATATTATGGTAGCCATTCTACATGTCATTTAACAACCTCTAGCAGGCACATTTAAATATTTTTTGGTGGGGGGGGAGAGTTGAGACTATAAACCTTTTATTATTTATTTTTAATTAAAAGATCATTTTATTGGAGGCTCTTACAACTCTTATAACAATCCATACATTAATTGTATCAAGCATATTTGTTCATATGCTGCCACCATTCTTTTCTAGACCTTTACTTTCTATTGAGCCCTTGGTGTCAGCTCCTCCCCCTTCCCCCAACCCTCAGAACCCCTTGATAAATGATTATTATTTTTATATCTTACACTGACCACTGTCTCGCTTTCCCCATGGTTTCTGTTGTTCATAACCCCACCCCCGGGGGTGGGGTGCGTATGTGTCTTCATAGTGATCAATTCCTCCTTCCTCCCCTCTTCTCCCCATTAGTTCTTTTAAAAGTGAAATTTATTTGAATAATATGCTTAGTTAAGTCCACAGACAGCAAATATAGTTTTGGATACAGTTTAATAGCAATCAACATCAAATGTATCCACCAGATATTTGACTTTCTAAAAAGTCCACACTGTCTGTAACATCGAGTGTGTATTTTATATGTCAGTTCAGACTAGCTACATTTCAAGTGTTCAGTAGACACCACACATGGCTAATGACAGCTAACAGGGCAGCTGAGAATCAAGAACTCATGTATGTTTCCTTTAAGCCTTTAATGCACATCGAAACGTCATGCTCCAAGTAAGGTTACCCCTTTCATTTGTGCCTGAGTGTGCCTGAGTTCTGCACCTTGCCAGTGATCGATGTCACTATTCACCCGCCCTGTCAGTTTCACAGGCAAAAGGAAGAAAACAGCCCAGCAGCGTCTTTGGCTCTTTGTTACACGTTGCTTTTCCTTCCGGGTGTTTCGATCCAGACTTCACAGTGGCGTTTTCCACCCACGTGCGTCAATCGCTCTCGGCGCCTCTGCTCCGTGCATGGGCTACTCAGTGTTCTTGGAGAGGGAACCAGCCTGTTGGTTCCTACGGGTCCTGTTGCGCCTGTTAACTGTTGAATGCCATTCCGTCATATAGCGATGCCCGTTTTATGAATCCCTTCCCCCGCGATGACCTCTACGTTGTGTCTTGCTGTTTTTGTGGCTTACGGTAAACTTCCTTGAAATGTATCTAGATGCACATGCAGGAAATTCTTGAAGGTGCAGACCTAAAAGGTGGAACTGCTGGATCATATTATATACAAACTTTCATTCTTACCACTTGATGCTAATTGCTCCCCAAAGTGGCAACTAATTTAATCTCCCACAGAGGTATATAAGAATAGGATTTGTCACATTAAGAAAATAATAATAGCATATAACAGAGACAGAGGTGTTAAAGGGAAATATGCATGCATATGCATATATATGTACATGTATACATATATGTGTGTCTATGGTATGTATGTATATTGCTAATATGTAAATAAATATGTATATGTAAATAAATATCCTATAATTCATTTAGAAAGCTCAGAAGTTTTAATTTTTTCCTTTGGATCTTACACCATATAAATATTGACATAGCTCATGAACACTATTTAAAGAGATTTCTAGTTGGGAAGAACTGGTAAATGTTTTAATGGTTCGCTATTGAGTTGTGCATTTAACGCCTAAGCACTTCTACTGCAGCACGGCCATGGTGGCGTGGTGGTTACTCACTGGGCTGCCAACCACAAGGGCAGCAGTTAGAAACCACCAGCTGCTCTGTGGGAGAAAGATGAGGCATTTTACTCCCATAAAGAGTTGTTGTTTTGGAAACCCACAGGGGCAGTTCTACCTTGTCCTATGGAGTCTCTATGAATCAGTATCAATTTGATGGCAGTGAGTTTTTTGGTTTTTAAAAAAATCATTTTATTGGGGGCTCATACAGCTCTTACCACAATCCATACATTCTTCCATTGTGTCAAGCATATTTGTACATTTGTTGCCATCATCATTTTCAAATATGTTCTTTCTACTTGAACCCTTGGTATCAGCTCCTCGTGTTCTCCCCTCTCTCCCTCACCCTCCCTCCCTCCCTCATGAACCATTGATAGTTTATAAATTATTTTTATTTTTTCATATTTCACACTGACTGATGTCTCCCTTTACCCACTTTCCTGTTGTCCATCTCCCTGGAAGGGGTTATATGTAGATCATTGTGATAGGTTTCCTCTTTCTCCTCCCCACCTTCCCCTTACCCTCCTGGTATCGCTACTCTCATTATTGGTCCTGAGGGGTTTATCTGTCCTGGATTCTCTGTGTTTCCAGCTCTTATCTGTACCCATGTACATGCTTTGGTCTAGCCGGATTTTTAAGGTAGAATTGGGGTCATGATGGTGGAGGGGAGGAAGCATTAAAGAACTAGAGGAAAGTTGTATGTTTCATGGGTGCTATACTGCACCCAGACTAGCTTGTCTCTTCCTTGTAACCCTTCTGTAAGGGGATGTCCAATTGTCTACAGATGGGCTTTGGGTCTCCACTCCACACGCCCCCTCATTCACATTGATATGATCTTTTGTTCTGGGTCTTTTATCCCTGACACCTCCTGATCACACAGGCTGGTGTTCTTCTTCCATGTGGACTTTGTTGCCTTGCTGCTAGATGGCCACTCGTTTATCTTCAAACCTTTAAGACCCCAGACACTATATCTTTTGATAGCCAGGCACCATCAGCTTTCTTCACCACAGTTGCTTATGCACCCACTTTGTCTACAGCGATCGTGTTGGGAAGCTAAGCATCATGGAAGATGGTAGTGAGTCTTGTTTTGTCTTTTGGGGTTTTTTCTTTGCCATCCAAAAGGTTGGGGGTTAAAGCGCACACAGCGATGCCTCGGGAGAATGCCCTGGTGATCTCCTTCTGAAAAACCAGTCACTGGAAACCCCATGGAGCATGGTTCTTCTCTGATACGCATGGGGTCACCTGAGTGGGAATTGACTCGGTGGCAGAAGCTTTGGGTTTGTTTTGTGTCAATCAGGACCCTGCCCCTCTGTCTCGAGGTGTGGGACTCCACCATGGGAGAATCATTCCTTTCCCTTCTCTCTCCTTTTAAAGTGGGGAAGCTGCTGGTTGGAGTAGCTCTGAAATACCCGTGTCATCAGCACCCTGGTGCGGATGGGTGATGTGATCAAGTTCTAGGATGGGACCACACCCCAAACCGGACTCACTGCCCTTGGGTCAGTTCTGAGTACCGGACAGGGTAGAACTGCCCCTGTGGGTTTCCAAGACTGTAATGCCTTACGGGAGTAGAAAGCCCCCTGCACCACAAAACCCCCAGAAGGTTCCTGAAGAAAAGCACGAGAGGTAGACTAGCCTTGCGAATCAATCCTGCATTTACCTAAGGAGCGGAAAAGAGCGTGATGAAACAGCGTGCCTAAATGCTGCTTGAAAATTAGTTTGGATGTTATTTAACTGTGTGTTATTTCCATCCATTACCTCCCTTAGGTAATGATGAGCTACCTTCTTTGGGTATAGATTGATCTATCATCAGCCGGGGAAAGAAAAAAAAAACACAGCGGGAAGTCATTTTGAGTGACGACGTAAGGTGTCATTCCGCTGGCATGACTGACGTGTGTGCTGCAGCTGGGGGTGCACAAATCCATTCTGCAGACTGACCAGTTCATCCGACTGAGCAGACACTGGGGAAGAGAACAGAAGGTAAGCTCAGGGAGGGAAGGGGACCCCGAGCACAGAGGTGCCGGTGGCCCCAGAGCTAATGTGGCTATTTGCCAAAGCCCTGGGCTGTTCAAAATGCATCTCAAAGAGCTTCTTGGCAGGGAATCACGGGGTCTCACAAAAACGAGGCCATCACATGAGGGGGCGTCCAAAAGTTTGTGGAGAAATGGAGTTACAAGATAACGGGTTTCCCCAGGAATTTTCTCAAGCTCCCTCATGCAGGTCATCCTTTTAGCGGTGCTACTGAATTACCTGGGCCATTTTCTAGGTCTTGGAAATTTAGATGGCAGAGTTCTGCTGGCGTCGCTGGGTGAAAAAGAAGAGTCTCACCCTACTATGTGTTTTTCTCAAGTGAGCCCAATCTGTGCAAGCACTGCCTACAGCCCCACACTTTTATTTAGTTTTCTTGCCTTGACCTCTTTTTGAAAGCCATTGTCTGAAGCAGTATTGCCTTACCCACGTAGCCCCTGCCTCTGAGCATATGGCAGGGGCTGTTTCCAGATATTTGGTATTATATAGAAGCTGTTTGGGATGTTTGAACACAGTTTGTTAATCATTAGATACTTGGATGTACGGGAATGACACATAGGAAGAGTAGTCTCCAGTTCACTCTTTTCTGGTGAACTGGAAGAAAAATCTGAAGCACTATTTTAATTGAAGTCTGGCTTTACAGCCTTTTGGCGATCGGCCCGTTGATTTCCAGCTTTATTCGTGGCCCTAAAGGTCAGGTGCCTCTCTGAGGACAGCGCATCTTGTGATCTGGCAGCTGAAGGCAGCTAAGATCCCCTAAGGAGACCTCTGTGCTTCCAGGAACAAGGGTTCTCATGTTTGCCTCCGCCTTTGACCGCTAGCCGTTTCCTGCTTGTGCTCCTGCGCGCTCAGGCTGCTTCAGCAGGTGGATGGCAACAGCATGCTGCGTTAGGCTGGGTTGTCTAGAGAAACAAAAACCAGTGTTGCTCCTTCCTGTGTCAGAACAGCACTCCGTATCCAGACGACATCCCAGCCCATTCTCACTCAAGCCCACGGGCCGATGCGAGCCGGGGGCCCTCTTCAGACTCCCATAGCTAGCTGTAGGCTGGTGGTGCGGACAGGTGCAAGGGGAATCAGACAGATCACAGGCTGGTGGGCCTGGAGTTGGTGGAGGCATGGCAGGGCACCAGCAGCTTTCCAGGTTGGTGCCCCCCCCCTGCGGTTTCCCCTGGAGGCCGGCACAGAGTCCCAGCGAGGAGGAAGACCCAGGAGCAGAGGGAGGATCAGGAGAAGGTCCTCACTGTCTTTCTCATGGGAAAGACCACACCCCCAAGGAGGCATCTCCCGGCTGTGACCTGACTTGATAGGTTGGACTTTACCCCTCCATTTCCCACAGGCACACGCTGGCATAAACACTCCCTGCCCGCACACAGCTATGTCTTCTTGTTTTTGCCAAGTGATCCCAAAGCCAAAAGGAGGCCAAGCAACTAAAAAGGCAAGCACCATGATCAGATGAACAAGGCTTTCCAAAAAAAGACGGAAGGACTTACAGAAGTGAGATCAAGCAGGAGGAGGAAGCCCAGAGACTGCTTCTCAAAGGCAAGGGAGCTTTTCTGGGCGTGCAGCACCCAAGTCCCTTTGAGGTCACAGTCGGCTAAGGCAGCCTGCAGGAGTACCACACCTTTGCTGCCAATCCATCCTGGTGCCTCCTCTCTCTTCACATTGATCTGTCTCATCAGAGCGGATAAGGTTTTTTTCAGACCCTCCAAAGTACCAATTTGGAGTTTTCTTTTCTTTTTAAAAAAATTATTTTATTGGGGGCTCGTACAATTCTCATCACAATCCATACATACATCAACTGTGTCAAGCACAT